TAGCAAATATTTTTTTAGAAATTGTTACTACGATTAAATTACTAACCTAACCTAGATGTTTATAAATTTAGTAATTTAACAGCAACAAGTACGTTAAGTAACTAGAGACAATAATATCTATGTAAAAATAACAAAAGTATTATATTATTGATGTGTTGATTTCTGTTGATTCTTAGTTAATAAACATAGTTTTTAATCTATATAATGCTTATCTGTTGATTTTTAAATACCAAGAATTATTTATATTTCATTTGATTAAATATAAACATTCCACAATAATAGCATTATTATTTTCATATATAAATATATTTTTAAATTTCTCGCGGGAATTACAGCGGGATCCCGCTGTAAAGGCGAATTTACCGCAAATTTCCAGCTGGAAAAAAAATACTGCGGGATTGCAAACCCTAGTGACCATATATATCATATGTATTACACCATAGCATTAAATTAATGTTCTTTTTTTAATTTTCCATTAGGGTTTTTTATTGGGACCATACTTGTTCGGTGCTGGGATTTCCTGGAAGCTGTGCTTTCCTTTTTGGATGCCGAATTTCCTTTTACCGAAGCTAGGTGCACTGTGGACGAACCTGTTCTTGGCCAACTCCCGTTGCCAACTTCAATTTGAACGTGCCCACGTCTTGGAGGTGGAGCGTCCAACAACTCTACCACTGACCTGATTTTGCTGCTTGCTTCGAAATAGTTGCTTGCACTGTCCAAGGATATTAACACGTAAGTTTTGAACCTTTTACCATTTTCTTTTCTTTTTTTTATATGTATATATGTATATACTTGTTTCTCTGCTTAGTAGAATTAGTTATTAAATCATAAACCTAACTACTATTTAGTATGTGTTTAGCTGACTGGCTTATGCCATATGCATGTATATTAATTTGCTCGCCATTTCGTTAATCTAAGTTACTTGTATTCGATTATTTATGAATGCTGATGATAGTATAGTGCTATTGCCTTAGTTATTACGATTTATCATCAGCAGATTGCACGCCGCTTCCGGAAACTAGGGTACTCGCTTACGGTTTACTCCTTACTCTCGCTTATCTGTACTCTGCGCATGCGCCTGAGCTCAAGCGTTGCGATTTCGAGCGTACTGCTTATTCCCGGCTTGCTTATTATTTATTATTTGTTGCTATATCCCCTAATCTCTGGTTTTGTGTATGGCGTTACACCCTGTTGACTTAATCAATTAATAATTTACAGGTAATTCATAAATAATATATTCCAACTAATTGCGCCCATTGTTCTATGATGATAAATGTAAATATATGAATATATCTAGCGTTATATTTGTCTTATTTTATTTGTAGTCAACGTCCTTTTGACTGTTTTCGGTAGTTGACTTCCGCTAGTTAGGGTATTTATCTGGCTATTGAAAATTGTCTATAATATCTAGAACCACTCCCTTCTCCATTGAGTTAGCCAAATACCCGACGTCAGTATATGACGTGGTATCATCACGAATATTAGGTATCATACTTACCTATTATTTGCAACTTTTAGCTTTTAAAAACGAACCGAACCGTGCCTAACCTCACTTTAAATAACTGAGCACAAAATGAGCCAAGTGAACAAGCTGTCAAACTAATGCAGATAGCAGTAAGTGGGGGTAAAAATTCNAAAACAAGATAAAAGTAAAAATCCTATTTTTAGGTGAGCGGGTAGGCAACACACAATTAACACCTTTATTCGAACAGACTCAATTAATTATTTTTAAAAACAAAATATTTACAAAACAAATTCAATAATGTTTAGTATTAATTCAGTTCAAACTGCAAATTGTAAGAATTGTTTCCTTATCATTAGATACCATAAGGTCCGTATTCGTCTGTCCGCATACGCATATAGCCTACAAGCGGCAAGTTTTATAAGGAACCCCTTAGTTAAGGGTAAGTATTTTTATTATAGTTATTTCTCTTTTGTTTTACATTTAGCCTTTTGTAATAAGCTCTATACTTTTGTAGCTGTAGTAAAATTTAACCATATAGGCAATGGCATGCGACGTTGCCAGTTTATTTTTATTANAATAAATTTGTTACCACACAAATAATAATATATATATGTACAAGGTGATTCATTAACATTGGGAAAAACGAAAGATACTACACGTAAAATGGTGACCATTGGCGCAAATATGCCTTATCCGAAAGTTCATAGTTTCGGAAATACAGGGTGTTGAAAGTTAAAGTTTTAAATCGTTTTTTTGCGATTATTCTGAAACTATGTAGGTTAAGATCTTTTTTAAATTTGTGAAACTATATTTTTTTAAGCGACGAATAAGATGCGTGTTGCAATTTCAGCGTTGGTCATAAAGGGCGCCACTTACGACCAATTTTACCGAAAATTTAGTTAATAATTTTTTACCCTGTATGTCTAATATGAAACTTGATCCAAAACCTGAAAGAGCAATAATTTTTCCATTAATTATGTACACTTGTTTCATTTCGGTATCTCGATGCGTTTTCGAGAAAAATAGATTTAACGAACACTATGTTTTGATAATACGAGAAGGTAATAGCGAAACAAAGTGTTTCTTCATGTTATTACAACAATTAACAATAAAACAAATGAATACCTACGTAATAATGATTTAAAGTAATTGTTCGAAGAATCCACTGTCAATACTGATACACTTTACACAACGTTTTCTGAGATATCTTCAGGTTTGAAACAACACTTAAAAAAATATAGTTTCACCAATTTTCAAGATCCTAACCCACATATTTTCAGCTGGTTTCACATGTGTTAATAATTCTAAAATGCCGTTTACATTTGAAGGTGGAATTTTGGCTGTTTTTATCAGATTATTTTCAATTGTTTTATTAGAAACATGTAATTCTGGGTGAACATTTCTTCCTATTACAATTTGAATTTGTTTGTTATTTATAATATCATCTAAAATTGGAATACCATTACTTTGCGTTTCTTGATTAACAGAATGTACTGTATTGTCCGGAGGCGTCTGTTTTTTTTTGGAACAACCCAAATGGGGGATGAATAAGGGCTGTGTGAGGGTCTAATAACCCCGTCTATAAGGGTGTCTATAAGATTTTTTATATACTGGTTTTTCGTCTACTGTTTTTATTTTATGTTTTACTTTACTTATGAAGGTTAGTTTATCGTCTTCTTGATGAATAATGGAGGGGAATTCAACAAGAGTTGTAAATAATAAGTATTTTTCTTGATAGTTTAAATGGGATGTTCTGATTAAGGAATTTAATGTTTCATAGGAAATTGTGGTAAGTTTAGTATTATTTTGGGAAAGTCTATTTGTAAAATTGCTTTTTCTTCGGACGAAATAATCGGAAATTAATTTGGCTTAGAAAGACTCCTTAAACTCAATAAGTTATGGGGAAAATTTTGGATTTCAACTAAACACTGTCCATTTTTAATTTTTGAAATGGCGTTTGGAATAATTAATTTCTTACCCTTAAACTGATCTTCTTCGATAATAATTTCAGTATTATCCAAATAATTCTGTTCAATAGGAATTTTGACTAATTTGCCTTAGTGAGGTTCAAGGTAATGGGTCGTTAGGGTAGTTTCGGGTTTCCGAAAAAATATAGGAAATTAGAGAGTCGGTTAGAATATTTCCCAAAAAATCTATATGATCTTCTTCTTCTTCTAGGCCTATTACTCCGTCGAAATATTCATGGAAATTAAATAATATTACGTTCATAGTGTCTTCTATGTCTCTTAAATTCTGGAGGATAAGGGATGTTTATCATTTTTGCGTTATAATTGTTGTACCTAAAGATGTTGTAATATGCCCGGTGTTATGTCTCGGAGCTTGTTTGTATAAAGGAAACCACGAGTTCAGATGATAACACTTTATTCTTACACACTATACATTCGAGCAATTCTATATCATTCGACAACCTCTATAACTGTCCTTCATGACATCTTACCACGCTCTACCGTGACCCTGACCACCGACCCATGGTCCTGTTGTAGGTTAATCATGGAACACCCCCACACCAAATATATGTTAACCGTTTTAACATAACTAATTGATTTCCGTGTGGAACTTCTAACCTACTTATACATAAAATTTTACATATTAATCCTTAGTACTTAAACAATATTCGTTTAAATAATTCGGCAACTTTATTTGCCGTTTTAATCTGTCTCTCTGTGTAGACAGTCTTGCTCTGCTCGGAGTACCTCTCCCCCCCTTGATGGCTTTAGCTTCGCCGGAAGCCTCCTCCCTAGTCGCTTCCTCTTGGCGACCTGAGACCCCCGTTTCCACCCCGTATTTGAGGTGGAGAAGTTCTCCTTCTCAGGTGTTGTCACCCTATCTACCTGCTTATGTGAATTACTGTTACAATGTGACACCTCGACCTGGTTCCTGGGTATTTGATTCATGTGTCTTTTCCACAATTGTCCGTTTTTTAAACGACATAGGTATACTGATCTTCCTATTTGTTTTTCTACTACCGCCTCGGTCCATGTGACCTTATCTTCTCTTCTATAATCCTTCACATACACTATGCTACCTACTACACTCTGTCTTTTTCGACCTACGTATTTTCTTTTCTGTACGGCTACTGGCGTTCTTACTTTTTCTGGAAGATTATCCTCCGTCTGTACTTCCCTGGATTCTTTCAACAGCTTCCATCTCGTGCGGACCTCTCTGCCTAACATTAACTGAGCTGGGGCCTTTCCGGTTGTACTATGTTCCGTATTTTGATATGTTAATAAGAAGCGTGAAATTAATGTCGAAATAGGCACCTCTTTGTTTCTAGGATCTTCTACTGCCGCGGTCAATCTATTCTTAAATAGTTTCACCATTATCTCTGCCGCTCCGTTGCTGCTTGGATTATAAGGAGGAATTAGTACGTGCTCTATACCGTTCCTTCTAAAAAAACTGTTGAAGTAATTTTGACGTTAACTGCGGTCCATTATCGGAACAAATCGTTTTAGGCAATTCAAAGCGAGCTATTAATTTCCTTAGTTTCTTCTCCGTTTCGAATGCCGTAGTATTTTTCATTTTACACACTTCTACCCACTTTGAGAAAGCGTCTACCACTATTAAATACATTTTACCTTTAAATGGACCCAAGAAGTCCAAGTGAATTCTTTCGAGTGGTTCTTCCGTCTGTCTCCATGGCGTCAATTCGTTTTTCGGCGGTGTTGGTTTCGTAGTCAAACATGGTATACATGCTTTTGTCATCCTTTCAATATCTAAGTCGATATTGGGCCAATATATTACTGACCTGGCCAATTTCTTTGCGTTCACCATTCCTATGTGTGTTGTATGCAACATTCCTAACAATTCCGTCCTTAAAGATGTTGGTATCACTAGCCGTTGTCCCCATAATAATATATCCTGCTCAATGTCTAGCTCATTTCGCCTATTAAAATATGCCTTAATGGTTTCATCTATAACTTCAGGCCATTTCCCTGATCGTACTGAAGACATTACTCTTTTTAATATCGGGTCTTTGGCCGTTTCTTCTCTTACCTTCTCGTTATCAATCGGCCATTCTTCTCTTGTTTCGGTAAAGTTAATATATCCCNAGGCAATTCAAAGCGAGCTATTAATTTCCTTAGTTTCTTCTCCGTTTCGAATGCCGTAGTATTTTTCATTTTACACACTTCTACCCACTTTGAGAAAGCGTCTACCACTATTAAATACATTTTACCTTTAAATGGACCCAAGAAGTCCAAGTGAATTCTTTCGAGTGGTTCTTCCGTCTGTCTCCATGGCGTCAATTCGTTTTTCGGCGGTGTTGGTTTCGTAGTCAAACATGGTATACATGCTTTTGTCATCCTTTCAATATCTAAGTCGATATTGGGCCAATATATTACTGACCTGGCCAATTTCTTTGCGTTCACCATTCCTATGTGTGTTGTATGCAACATTCCTAACAATTCCGTCCTTAAAGATGTTGGTATCACTAGCCGTTGTCCCCATAATAATATATCCTGCTCAATGTCTAGCTCATTTCGCCTATTAAAATATGCCTTAATGGTTTCATCTATAACTTCAGGCCATTTCCCTGATCGTACTGAAGACATTACTCTTTTTAATATCGGGTCTTTGGCCGTTTCTTCTCTTACCTTCTCGTTATCAATCGGCCATTCTTCTCTTGTTTCGGTAAAGTTAATATATCCCTTCTCGGTATTCTTGTCTATTGGCTCCTCGTCTATCGGTGGATGTCTGCTAAAATAATCTGCCGTTATATTCTTTTCTCCACGTATATGTTGGATTTCGTAATTGAACATTGATAAATACGCCGCATACTTTTGTAACCTGTTCGCTGAATATTGTGGTAAAGATTTGTGTTCTCCAGAAATTGTAGTTAGTGGCTTATGGTCTGTTTTTAAAATAAATTTGTTACCACACAAATAATAAAAGAATTTAGAAACTCCAAAAATGATGCTTAACGCCTCTTTGTGACATGTTGGGTATTTTACTTCTGCCGGAGTTAATTTCCTAGATACGCATCCCACTAACCTTTCCTTTCCCTCAACCATGTGCGACAACGTAGCGCTTATGCCTACATTGGATGCATCGGAATGAACGATTATAGGTAGTTCCGGATCAAAATGCACCAGCACTTGGTCTGTAGCCATAATTTCTTTAATTCTATTAAATGCTATCTCGCACTTTTTAGACCAGTAAAACTGTTTGTCTGATTTTAAAAGCTCGTACAGAGGATTCAAAATTTCTACTATATTTTTAACGAAACCTGAATAGTAACTCACCGATCCCAAGAAACTTCTCACTTCTGAAACATTCATTGGTCTTGTTGCTTGCAATATCGCCCTAACTTTGTCATACGTTTTCCTCAATGCAGCTTCACTGATTGAATGTCCCAAATATCGTACCTCTCTCTTGAAAAATTCGCACTTATCTCTAGATACTGTGAACCCAGCATCCTGCAGTCTTCTAAAAACCTCCTCCAAGTTCAACAGATGCTCTTCCGCTGTCTCGGAACTCACAATGATATCATCCAGAAAATTACAACATCCTACCATATTTCCTAAAACATTCTCGATTATTTTCTGAAAAATATTAGCTGCGGGTTTAACACCAAAAGCCAAACGTTTCACTCTATATAACCCTTTCGTTGTATTCACTGTTAGTAACGCTGCCGTTTCCTCATCTACAGGTAATTGGTTATAAGCCATTTGCAGGTCTATTTTTGAGAAATATTTTCCTTTATTCAATTTAGAGTATACCTCCTGCACTCTAGGCAAAGGATATTTATAATCTTCGAGGAATTTATTCAAAGTTACTTTATAGTCGCCACAAAGTCTTATTTTTCCGTTGCTCTTTAATACCGGCACTAATGGAGTTGCCCACTCTGAATCAGGTATCGACTCCAGGATCCCCTCGGCCTCCATTCTATTCAATTCCTCTTCAACCACCCTCTTATATGCGAAAGGAACTGTCCTATGTTTACAAAAAATTGGGTTGACTTTCTCTTTTAATTTTAATGATACTTGGCTATATTTATATTTACCTAATTTATCAGAAAACAACCTATTATATTTGTGCATTAATTCTTTCAGTTTATTGTCGGTTTCTATACTATTTATTAAACTGACCTTGATCTCAACATTTTCTAAGAAGTTTCTGCCTAACAAGCTCGGTCCTCCACCGGAGACCACATAGAACTCCACAGGTTTAATCCTCCCGTTATACTCCACCTTCGCCTCAAAACATCCGACAGGTGAGAATGTGTCTCCATTATAACTCGTCAACAACATATTCGCTTGTCGTAACCTAAAATTAGAAAACTCTTTCAAATACGTATCGTGACTACAACATGATACCGAAGCTCCCGAGTCTAAAAAGAAATGGTGTTCCTTATCTCTTATTTTTATTACAATGTTAAAGGGGTTGTCATTTAAAATCTTACAATTATCTTTGGAGTTCTGTATCTCTGGACGTTTTTGCCAATTTGTATAGTTCTTCCATGGCTGCTCTTATCATTGCGCACCCGGATATGGCTGTCTCTGTTTCCTGTAGTATTGGTTTCCGGTTCCAGTTTGTGATGGCGGTGGTCCTGTGCTTCTTGGCGGGAATTTTGTGTTGATGAAATTCACCTTCGCACTATTTTCTGTTTTCTGGGCAATATTCACTAACTCGTCCAATGATCTACCGTCCTCTTCTTCGCACAGACGATCCAGAATTTTCCCTGTCGTTAGCCCCGTCACCAATTTGTCCTTAATTGCCTTATTTAAGTCTACTCCGAAATTGCAGTGCATCGCAAAAGAATGTATCTTGGCGTACCATTCCGTAATTGTTTCGTCGTTCTGCTGGAGTAAATAAAATGTACGCCTCTCACGCCACACACTCGTCGTTGCATTAAATTGTTTACATAACATTGCACTAAGTTCTTTATATGATTTTTCCTTCGGTAGTTTCGGCGTGGAAAGATCCCGTAACAACTTATATGTGCTTTGTCCTACCGAACTTAATAATACTGCAATCTTAATTTTCTCGTCGGTGATTTGATTAGCCGTGAAATGTTGGTCTAATCTTTCCGAATATATTGTCCAGTCATCGGACTCACTACAAAATTCTAAAAATTTTGGCGTCGTACCGGCCATTTTCACCGATCCTTACCCGTGTTTCCCTTAAGTTACTTTCTTGATTCCGCACTTTCCTATTATTATCCTCGTCGCCACTGTTATGTCTCGGGGCTTGTTTGTATAAAGGAAACCACGAGTTCAGGTGATAACACTTTATTCTTACACACTATACATTCGAGCAATTCTATATCATTCGACAACCTCTATAACTGTCCTTCATGACATCTTACCACGCTCTACCGTGACCCTGACCACCGACCCATGTTCTTGTTGTAGGTTAACCATGGAACACCCGGGTCATTATACAGATATTTCGAAAAATGGTTTTCTAAAATGGGGGGGGGGGTTATTGATTTAGTAAGTCCAGAGTCGATTAAAAGTTTTAAAATTGAATTTTGATTAACTCTAATTTCAATATATGGCAGAGGAGACGAAAATGATATAAAGTATTCTAAAATCAAATTTGGATATTTTCCGAGCTTACTTTTTGAAAATTTTCGTCTATACAGTTTTCGCTAGAATTTACTGAATAGTTAGGTGGGTTTGTGCCGTAAGGTACTATATCCGCATTTTCGTAAAAATTTTCTTGTTCAACATTGTATTCCGGTTCTGTGTAGGGATATGTATTATCTTGAAGAGAAGTATACTCTAAATTGTCGTCGTCAAATTTTGGGTCAGAATCCTCAATATGGTTTAAATTTAGTTTTTGGAAATTTTGTCCCGTTTTATTATAACGCTTCTAGTGTACCAGTCATTTTTTGGTCTGAAGGGTTATTGAAAGGGTTTGTTCTGTTGGGATTGTATAGTGGATATACCCGACATTGGGGTAGGCGTCGGTTGTTTTGTAAAAGTTACGTTGTTATAATATGGTTGGTCTGGTCGGTGGTTGTGTTCTATTAAAATTTGAAAATTAGGTTGTTGAGGTTGGAATTTTTGGAAGTTGGTTGATAAGTGGATTGATAGTATTCATTTGGTCTTGGTGCGTTTATTTTAGGTTTTTGTAGGAATACTTTTGAATTTAATTTTTGAGAAGATTCTTCGAATTGTTCTTCCACGGTAACGGCTTGTATCGCCTCAGTAATATTTGTGATGTTTCTAGTTCTAATTGTTTATATTTAATAGATAAACAAAGCGTATATGTCTCTAGGGTCATTTCGGAATAAATATTTACTTGAGCTTGTTTTTCCTCAATAGGCCGATTTTGTTCGTTGATTTTCGCAACTAAATTACTTGAAATTTTTTGAAGCTATGGTGATAATTTAGTCTCAGGTTGAACGTAAATTAATTTATTTTATAATGAGGAGATAGTATGGGCGTTTTCAAATAATTCTAATAATAGTTGCTTCAACGCGTTACAGTTATACCGACAAATCTGCTTGTCCTATTAATATAGCTTTAACTGATGAAAGAAGAAATGATTTAATAGTTTGGTTCTCTGAAGGAAAAGCTAAAAAAAGTTCGTTA